TTGAAGACGTAATTCTGCACTAGAACTTTCATTTTTATAAATATTATTAGTAAATGTATTCATTATAAAAACACATGTCAAAAATTTGGAATTTTTCTAGTGTCAAATGATATTTGCGATTTTCTGAACAAAGTACTTCAAAGTTTTCTTTTTACAAATTTACATAAATAGATGTATACGGTACATGAATTACTAGAAATTTGATTTATTACAAATATTCGAATAATATAATATTTAATTTATTATAAATCCTTCCAACTCACCGCTTCCTCCAGTTATAAATACAACTTTGTCCTTATAAAATTCCGGTATTGTTAAATTCATTTTTATTTTTGGTGTTTTAAGGAAGGACGGGGTCACTGCTTTCGATAACTTTAAACTTTAAACTGATTGTGATCTTTTCCGTAGAATTTATAAAAAAATGCAAACGTTTCGAAATCGACTCATACTACAAAAACAACTTTTGTCAGAAGAGAAACAGAGGTGGCCGGGGAACGGGCCTCGGGAAATAAAAAAAACTAAAAAAAAAACATTATTTATTCTAGTTAACCAGGTTTATCTTTTGTATATTAGATACTTTTATAAAACTTATCTAGAATTTAAACCCAAGGGTAAATTTACGTGCTACAGTTAGTGGCGCACTCTATGGACAGGGCGAACAACTACAAATGAAGTAAAGGCAAAGCGTATGTATTTATACTTTGTCCCACGAGTACCTCAAAATTTTGATGTACTTTGTTCAATTCATCGATGATATCTCGTGATGCAAGCATGGGATCATCAATTTTAATATTTGTATTTATAATAGACTTAATAAACTATGTTATAGTTAAATTACAAGATTGTAGTACAAACGGTGCGACCTGTAGAATTTATTTAACAAAAGCATTTTATCCAAAGTTAAGGGTTTTTGATTCAAATCATTGGTGATATCTTGTGATGCAAAAAACAAATCATCAATTTTAATATTTGTATTTAAAATAGATCTTATAGAGTATGTTATAGTTAAATTATAAGGTTATAGTACAAACGGTGCGCCCTGTAAAATTTATTAAATCAAATCAATCTTCAAGTTTCACCTTGTTCAAAATATTAAGGATATAACATGATATAAAGAAAGCATCATTAATTTTAGTATTTGTTGTTATAATAGACATATTTTGTTATAACATATTTAAATTACAAGGTTATAATACAAACGGTGCGGCCTGTAGAATTTTTTGAATAAAAACATAGTACATCATATGTGACTTGTGGTATTTCAAGTACTTTGTGCAAAAAATCGTAAATATTTTTTGCCACTAAAACAAAGTCATCGAATTTAGTATTTGTTATTATTATAGACATATTTAGTTATAATATATTCAAATTACAAGGTTGTAATACAAACGGTGCGACCTGTAGAATTTTTTTAATAAAAACATAGAACATCATATGAGGCTTGTAGTATTTGGAGTACTTTGTTCAAAAAATTGTAAATATTTTTTGTCACTAAAACAAAGTCATCGAGTTTAGTATTTGTTATTATAATAGACATATTTAGTCATAATATATTTAAATTACAAGGTTGTAGTACAAACGGTGCGACCTGTAGAATATTTTGAAATTAAAAATTAAAACTTAGTCTTATCATGTGTAAATGAAGACTTGGAAGTACTTTGTTGAAAAATCCTAAATATTTTTTGTCACTGGAACAAAGTCATCGATTTTAGTATTTGTTGTTATTATAGACATATTCAGTTATAACATATTTAAATTACAAGATTGTAGTACAAATGGTGCGGCTTGTAGAATTTTTTCAAAATACAAAAATTCTTCCCA